ACGCCCCCCGGGCCCGGGCCCCGCCCCCGCCCGCCTGTCTCTTGCTCCTCCCGCCCGCCAGGGGGCGCCGCTTCCCGCGCGGTGCCGCTCTGGCGGACGGCGCCCCCTGTGGGCCCGGTGGCGGCGCGGGCGCGGGCCCGAGGCGGCGGTGGCGGCCGCAGCCATGTCCCGTCGGGGCCCCGCGCAGGTCAGGGCCCGGCCGGGGCACGGGGCACGGGGCACGGGCCGGAACGCGCGACGGGACACGGGACGGGGCGGGCCGCGGCGGTGCTGGGTCAGGGGCGTGCGGGGGTCCCACAGGGAAAGTGGTACCGGGGGTCTGGGGGCCGTCAGGGTCTGGGGATGGGGGGAGGGAAGTCTCATAGAGGGGTCCCTTAAGGGTGACAGCTCAGGTGCCCCCAGGAGAGCTGGTTCTGGGGGATTGAGGGGTCCCCCGGGGTGGTGGGACTGGAAAAGTCCCCTGGGGTGCTGGTCCTCATGGTGAGGGGAGTCTCAGGATCCTGGGAATGGGGGGGGCGGAGGGATGACAACTCAGAAGAACACGCCCGTTCCCCAGGGGTCCTGGTTCAGACGGGGACAGCATCCCACAGAGGAGGTGGGACTGGGGGCTTGGGGACACCTCAGGGTCCTGAGGATGGGGGAGGTAAGGAGGGACGTGTGACCCTGAGGAGTGACAGGAGGACAGGGATATGCCCCAGGGATGTCAGTTCATAGGGATGAAGGGATCTCCCAGGGATGCTGGTCCTGGGGGACCCCTAAAGGTGCTGGTCTTGGGGATCCCCCTGGGGTGCCTGTTCAGGGGGTCTTCCTTTGGTCCTTGGGAAGGTGAAGATATGGGGACCAGGAGGTGGCAGCCTGGCTCTGGCAGATCCCTGCAGAACTGGGGTCTRGGGGAATCGCTTGGGGCTACCGGGGATCCTGAGTGGGTCTCTATCCCCTGATCACCCTTGAGCAGGGCTGTGACCAAGCCTCTATCCCTAAATCCCCCACAGGTGTCGGGCAGCCTCCGGCAGAAGGCAGTGCCAGACATGGCCCCATCGGCGCTGCAGGAGCTGCGGAGCCGCACGGAGTGTGCAGAGCGGCGGCTCCTGGCCTGTGAGAACCTGGTCGGGGAGCTGGGCAGCAGCCTGGCCGCCCTGGGCACCCTCCTGCAGGGCTACGGGCAGCTCCAGCAGCGCCTGCTCAACCTGGAGAACCTCCTCAAGAACAGAAACTTCTGGATCCTGCGTCTGCCCCCTRACTCCCGGGGGGAGATCCCCAAGGTAGCGGCGGCCACTTCCCGGGGATCCTGCGGGATTGTGGAAGGGTTGGGGACTGAGCTCCCATCCCGTGTGTCCCCATAGTGGGGCTGGACATGAACCACYGAGCGATGCGTGGTTCCAGGGGAATTCCCTGTGATTCCAGGTGCCGCTCACCTTCGATGATATCTCTGTGTATTTCAACGAGCTGGAGTGGAAGAGGCTGGAGCGCTGGCAGAAGGATCTGTACAGGGCTGTGATGAGGAGCAACTACGAGACTTTGGTGTCCCTGGGTAAGGCTTGGGGGCTGTAGCTCATGGAATCATGGAATAGATTGGGTTTGGAAGGCTGCGAGGGTGGTGACCCCAGCACAGGTTGCCCAGAGAATCGTAGATTCCCCATCCCTGGGAGTGTCCAAGGCCAGGTTGGATGGGGCTTGGAGCAACCTGGGATAGTGGAAGGTGTCCCTGGCTTCCACTAGAGGGAAATGTGTCAGCTAAAGCTTTTCCCTCGTTTGGGATTTTAAGTCATGTTCTGCTGGTTAAGATTCCCTCTGCCTGAGCTGCATCTGTGCTTGGGGTGGGTACTTTCTCAGGGCCAAGGAGAAAGGACCCACCTTTGTGTCTCTGCTGGGACAGAGGACAAAGGTCACTTTGGGAATGTGCCAGGATAAAGGCCCAGCCATATACTAATCAAGCCCCGTCCTCTGCCCCACAACCAGACTACGCCGTATCCAAGCCTGACATCCTCTCCCAGATCGAGAAGGATGAGGATCTCAGTGACAAAGAGGGTCAGCAATCCCCATGGACACAGACTGGGGACAGTCAGGAGTGCCCCCAGGCACCTGAAGAGATGGATGAGATAGATGAGGCTTCAGGAGATGAAATCCCCGTGGAAACTGTGCCAGGTGGGTGCCAGGAGGAGGTGGCTGTTYCTCCCCTTTGTTAGGAAGGAAATGCTCATTCTGTGGAGTAAATCATCCCAGAGCACTGTGAATCTTCATTCAAGAGGAATGTTTGTGCTTTGTCAGATGAATCCCATGGAGAAAAGCAGGCAAAGCCTGCAGGAGGGGCTAGGATGGGGTCTGGAGCAATGGAAAGGGCCTTCTGTAAGCCTGGGGCTTCCAGAGACATTCCTGCCTGCTGTGGATGGAGAGGAAACATGCTGGGAAGTGAGGAACTGGGAGCTGAGGTGCGAGGAGACATCTGGGAAGAGCTGTGGTCAAGGGCTCTTTTCTGCAGGATTGAGGAGTTGGGAAGGTTAAAGACAGCCCAGGAGAAGCTGGACAGGTGCTACCCTGTGGGAAAACTCACCTGCAGCCCAGGAGGGGGTTTGGGGGTTGGATTGGAGGAGAGGAAGAGGGACACAGAGGGACATCTCCTTTGGCATTCATGTTCTGTTACTTGGAGCTTCTCTCATGGGAAGGTCCTGCCACAAGGCCAAGGAAGCAGCTCTGCCGTTGGGGTYGGAGCAGGGGTGAGGTGTTTGTGTCTCTGCAAGGGCGGGGAGAGGGAACAACGGTCACTTTGGGAATCTGGCAGTATAAAGGTGCAGTCGAAAATCCTAATAGAGCCCCTCTTCTCTGCCCCGGAGCAGATGGTGCCGCATCCGAGCCCGATGGCTGGTCCCAGATCAAGAGGGATAAAGACCTCAGCATGACCCCCAGAAATGGTCTGGAGCCCCCACAGACACAGACTGGGAACAGACAGAAAACCCCAGGGATACAGACTGGGGACAGCCAGGAGTCCCCACAGACACAGACTGGGAACAGCCCAAAGCTCCCGCGGACACGGAGTGGGARCAGCCCAAAGTGGCCACAGACACAGATTGGGAACAGCCAGGAACCCTCATGGACACGGAGTGGGAACAGCCTGAAGTCCCCATGGACACAGACTGGAGACAGCCAGAACCCCCCACAGACACAGTCTGGGAACAGCCCAAAGTCCATACGGACACGGCATGGGAACAGCCCGAAATCGCCACAGACACAGACTGGGGACAGCCCAAAGTCCTTACGGACACAGAACAGGGACAGCCAGAACCCCCCACAGACACAGTCTGGGAATTGCCCAAAGTCCCCACAGACACAGTCTGGGAATAGCCCAAAGTCCCCACGGACACAGACTGGGGACAGCCCAAAGTCCTTACGGACACGGCGTGGGAACAGCCCGAAATCACCACAGACACAGACTGGGGACAGCCCAAAGTCCTTACRGACACAGAACAGGGACAGCCAGAACTCCCCACAGACACAGTCTGGGAATAGCCCAAAGTCCCCACAGACACAGACTGGGAATAGCCCAAAGTCCCTATGGACACGGAGTGGGAACAGCCCAAAGTCCTTATGGACACACAGTGGGGACAGCCAGAACCCCCTGCAGACAGGTGTCCCCAACAATCAGAAGCCCACACARACACCAGAAGAGATAGAACAGCAGGAAGAAGCTTCAGGAGAAGATCCTGTGCCCATGGCAGCTGACCCGGGTGAGTTCCAGAGGTGCCAGGGAGGATGTGCTTCCCCTTCCCCAGCTCCTTGGGGCACAGGCAGTGCCCAGGGCAGAGGGCATGGCCTGGTGCTTGGAGGGGCTTTGCCAGGGAGGAGCAGGAGCCTTGGGATGCTGTCGTAGACAATGGAGGGGAGTAGAAGGCCTGGACAAGGGAATTCAGCCTGTGGAGATGGTGGGGTGAGGCTGCTCCATGAGGTGATGGCATGTGACACAGGTGTCCTTCCTCCCAGCCCTCCCTCTGCTTTTGGTCCACGTGGGGCTTCGCTCCAGTTCCTCCCAGCCTTTSCATGGAATTGCTGAGGTTGGAAAAGCCCTTTGAGGTCATGGAGTCCAACTGTCCCCAGCAGTGCCAAGGCCCCATGTCCCCAAGTGCTACATCCACAGGGATTTTAAATCCCTCCAGGATCAGGGACTCGGCCACTGCCTGTGCCAGGGCTGGCCAACGCTTTCCAGGAGGAGTGTTCCCAATATCCAATCCACATCCTGCCTCTTGAGCCACAGCTTTCTCTGGCTTTTCCACACACTTACAGCAATCTGTTTCATTATGCCAGAGTGGGGACCTGGAAGCTCTTCATGAGTCTTTCAAATCCTTGTTCCCTCCAAACAGGCCTCCCCATCCTGTTGATGAATGTGATGTCCCTGGGGGACCGTCAGCCAAGGATGGAGGCAGAGGACAACCCAGAGATGGAGGAGGACCCTGCAGAGCCTGACACTGGTGAGTCACCCTGTGCTGGGGACACAGGGCCTGGCAGGCAGGAAGCAGCTCCCAGAGCTGATGGGCTCAGAAAAGGAAGGGGAAAGGAAGTTTTAGGTGTTCATTTTATTTTTTCCTGCAACATCTTACAGGTTTGGAGGTGGGTCCTTTGTGCCACTGGTCCCAGTGGCACCATGGAGGGCTCAGCCTGGTTGCTGCTGGGAGCAGGAGATCTGTCGAGGCCTGGCACTGCAGGGGCACGTGCACCTGTCCAGGCTGCTCTCAGATGTGKTGGTGGCTCTGACCTTGCTGAAAGCCTGGTCAGTGCTTTCATCCATGACCTGGGTTTGTCCTGGGAGCAGGAATCATGGAATGGTTGAGCATGGAAAAGCCCTCTCAGATTGAGTCCAGCTGTCTCCCTAGCACTGCCAAGGCCAGCACTAAGCCCTGTCCACAAGTGCCACATCCACACAGCTTTTTAAATCCCCTCAGGGATGGACACTCCATCCCTACCCTGGGCAGCCGTGCCAGGGCCCAACAAGCCTTTTGGGGAAGGAATTTTTCCAATATCCCACCTGAACCTCTCCTGGCACAGCTTGACGCTGTTCCCTCTCCTCCTGTCCCTGTTCCCTGGGACCAGAGCCCAACCCCACCGGCTGCCCCCTCTGTCAGGGAGYTGTGCAGAGCCMCAAGGTCCCCCTGGAGCCTCCTTTGCTCCAGGCTGAGCCGCCCCAGCTCCCTCAGCTGCTCCTGGTGCTCCAGACCCTTCCCCAGCTCTGTTCCCTGCTCTGAACATGGTCCAGCCCCTCAAAGGCTTTCTTGTCATGAGAAGCCCAGAGTTGCGCCCAAGACTGGAGGTAGCCCAGCAGAGCCAGCACAGGGGACAGGCCCTGGTCTTCTGTCATAGCAGTGCTGTCACAACTACAGTGTCAATCTGTTCCAGAGGAAACCTCATTCATGGAAAATGAAATGCCATGTGAAGATGCTTCTCCTAAGAATGTCGAGGTGAAGCAAGAGGAGCCTGAGCTGCTGGTAGAGGATTCCACACCCTCGCTCGGCTTGGAAAGCCAGAAGTGCCCCAAGAATGAGCTGGTGAAGGCCAAGAGCAAGAAGAAGCCGAACCGGTGTGAGGCCAGCAACCTCCTGATGGGCAACTGCCGGCGCGGGTACGTGCGGGAATGGTGCCATCCCTGCACGGAGTGTGGGAAGCGCTTCCGCCTCAAGATCAACCTCATCATCCACCTGCGCAGCCATGCCAAGGAGGGGCCCTATGAGTGCCCCGTGTGTGAGATCGGCTTCAGCGACAGACGGCACCTGGACCTCCACCGCAGCATCCACATCAAGGACAGAGCCTTCGGGGCCAAGGTCTGGGGCAACGTCCACCCTGAGCTGCGCATCCGCCCGCGCAGGGAGCTGTGCGGCAGCACCCAAGGGTTGGGCAGTGGCGGCCATGCTGGGGGGGCTTGTCTGAGCCAGCCCAAGGAGGAGCCAGACAGAGAGGGCCTGTCTGGCTCCGGGATCGCACGGCCACCGAATCCCAGGATGAAGTGCCCCTACTGCAAGAAGTTCCTGTCCTGCTCTGTGTCACTGCAGCGGCACCTCCGCACCCATGCACGGGACCGGCCCTACTGCTGCAGCTCCTGCAACAAGTGCTTCACCCGCCATAGTCACCTCCTGCGCCACCAGAAGATCCACGAGCGGGCCCTGGCTGCGCTGCAGCAAGAGGGCAACACCCAGCCCACCGCTGCTATCCCAGCATCCCTGCAGCACACGACTCCCGAGGCTGAGAAGAACCTTTCCCAAGAGAACGGGAGCCCTGACGCTGCAAAAGCGAGCTCACCCAACGTGCTCCTGCTGGGAGCAACACCACTGGGGCTCCCGGGCAAAGGCTCCCCGCTCCCTGACTGCGTTGGGAAAGCTGTGCAGCCCGTGGTCCAGCTGGGAACGAGGGCAGTGGTTTCAGAGAGAACAGAGAATTGACCATGGGACAGATCCGAACTGTATGTGTCTCTGGAGAAAGCTGTGAGTTTGTTTGGTTTGTACCTGGTGGGACACCAGGATTGGGAATCTGCTGCGTTTTAGGAGCTTCCTGGGTTGTAGAAAGAATGGGAAGCTTGGATACCACAACAGAGCAAATTGCAGGAGCCTCCAATGATCCAAAATGATTCACCATTGCACTGACTTGTTCCTGTTGGCTGATGATTGAAATTTTCCCAAGTTGACTTTCCTGGGAGATGACCAGGTGAATCCTGGTCAAACAGGAGCAGAGCTCTCTCATTCCTTGATGTTGGAAATGATCGCGTGCATTCGGGAACATGACTGAAGAGGACAGGGAGAAGAGAATAGAGCTGGCAGCATTCTCAAGGAGCCCTTTGCTCCATGGACCAAGCTTCCTGACCATGACGCCGGATGAAGAGAATGTGACATCTCCAAGCCCCCACCACGTCCTGGCCACACTTGTCACCCCCACCCCAGGGAGGAGATCAGCCAACCCCCTGCTCCAGTGGGTTGGGAACACTGGAGCTTTGCACCGGAAGATCCGTAGGATAAACCAAACCCCAATATTCTGTGCTTGCATATTCCACGGGTCCTGGCAGGTCTGTCAGGGAGGCCGCAGGCACCCTTGGGCCCATCCTGCATGGGTGCAGAGTCATTTTAGGGATATTTGATGGATCAGCCAGCCCCATCCTGCAGCAGCACCTCTGATCTTGGTGGATCCACCTGCACGGAGCAGCCCCTTGGCTCTGGAGGAAACTGCTACTCACACAGCCACAGCTTGTCTCCTTTTGCCCAAAATCCCACTATAATGAATCCTACAGGAAAATAGTTCTGCAGCTACCTCAGTCAGGGAGAGGGAGACCTGCCCCAAGGCAGCCAGTGGAAGCCAGGCCTGGCACTGCTCCAGTGTCCCCCAGAGCCACCAGAGCTGTGTCCATGCCCAGAGCCCCACGTGCATCCCACACGCTGGTTGTGCACAGGCGACACATCCCGCCTGGAGCCATCACCGCACGGACCTAACGGAGCAGCTGCTGGGATTCTTGAATTTTGTTTTCCAGGGTTTTTTGTTTTCTTTGAGTTGTTTGATGTAATTATTTGACATCCCAAGGTCCCTGTGCCTCTCCAAGCAGTGAGCACTGGAAACCGGTGAGCTTTTCCCATCTTTCATTCCGAGTCACTCCCAAGGTGTGATGGTGCTGCTATGGGAGCTGAGGGAACAACTGTGCCACATCCAGGTGTGATCCTCAGCCACCTCCTGCTCTATGGGATGGACAGCAGCATCCGAGCTGCTCCCTAGGGATACATGACATCCACTTCTCTGGGCTGGTCTCACAATTCCTGCCCCTGGGATTGAAATGTGGAGCATTCCTGGACTGCACTAGGAGCCAGGAGGGGTCAGACGGGTCACTCTGTGTCCCCAGCAGGACACAGTGCAGTTGATGCCTTGTGGTCATGTGGTGACCGTGGATCTGGCAGTGAGCCAGCAGCTGGTTATCCTTGTTATCCCTGCCCAGGCAGAGATTCCAATGCTCCCCAGTTGATCCCAGGGGCATGGCTGAGCTGGTATGCATGGCTGAGCGTATTGCCAGTGGGGGGATCCCCCAGGCCAGCTGAAGGGGCAACGGCCCCAGCTGGGCATTTCTAAATTGGTTGTGACTGGGACCAGCGTTTCCTACAGCATTCCCGATCCCTTTCTCAGGCTGTGGAATCAATAAAGTATTTGTCTCTATGGCCGCTTTGTGACCTGTGCTGATGCCCATGGGCACGGAACTGGGATCAGCCAGGACAGCTCTCACTGGGAGGGATTTAGGAATCACTGCCAGCAGCTCCAGAGCACCCTGGCTATTGGAAGAGTTGTGGAACCCCAGCCAGGAAGAACAAGTAGCCAAGGGGAGCAGGGAAGGGCAGAGCACAGAGTGGCCCTGGCCACCATGGGTGGGATGTGTCCCTTAGCACTGCCAGGGAGTCCCGTGGTGCCTACAGATCCTACAGAGAATGCTGTGGGGGACTCCTGTGGGATTGCTCTACATTCCCATCACACATTCCCATCAGGCAGCTCTGCATTCCTCCCCTGATGGCCCCATCCCTGTTGAGCAGTGTCACCTTCCAGTCTGCCCCTCGCCCACCCTGGAGCACAACAGGAGACCATATTAGCTCAGTCTTTTATCTGATTCTCTTCCCGGCTGGTCCTGCCACCCAGCCCCCAGAGCCACTGACCAGTCCCAGGCCACTGACCACCCCCAGGCCACTGACCACCCCCAGGCCACCTCCCTCCACACTGGTGATGTTCAAACAACCCAAGTTCCAGCATTCCATGGGATCTGACACAGCCGTTCCTCTGCTGAATCCACAGGGCAGCGGCACCACCCAGCTCGGTTCTGTCCACTGACCCTCTGCTGCCTGTGGCCAGTCCCATCCCGCCCTGGGCCCTTCCCTGTCGGCACAAAACAGCAGCCTCCTTCCTCCTCTTCCTCCTCCTCATCCTGGAGACCCCGGTGGTGCCACAAGTCCCACAGCATTACAGACAAACTCCTGGCAGTACCACAAGTCCCAGCCGCCTGGCCTGTCCCACCAAAGAACCACTGTCCTTTCCCTTCTCCAGCCCTCCAGCTACCGATTATCTTGGCTCAGAGCCTCGCAGGGCTCCAGCTCCGGCTCATGTCCCGGCAAGGTGCCAGCTGGAGAGGTGGCCACGGCATGCACCTTCTGGTGGTGGTTCAGCGACTGCCGGTGCCGGAAGCTCTTGGTGCAGCCGTGGCACTGGAAGGGGCGCTGCTGGGTGTGCCGGCGCTGGTGCTCCTCCAGTGACGCTTTCTGAGGGAAGCTCTCGGCACACTCGATGCAGCGGTAGAGCCGCTCCCCAGCGGCGCTGGCCCGCGCTGGCCGGCTCGGCCACGCACTGCGGAGCTGCGGCCCGTGGATGCGTTGGTGCTTCTGCAGGTGGTGCTTCTGCACAAAGCCCTTGCCGCAGGCAGGGCAGCAGTACGGCCGCTCCCCGGTGTGGATCCGRTAGTGCTTGTTGAGGTTGGACTTCTCGTTGAAGCTCTTCCCGCAGGCCGGGCACTGGAAGGGCCGCTCGCCCGTGTGCAGGCGCTGGTGCCGCAGCAGCGCAGCATGGTGGGCCAGGCTCTTCCCGCAGGACGTGCAGATGAAGGAGCCGTTGCTCTTCCTCGCCTGGCTCTGCTGCCGCGCCAGGAGGTTCCGCGTCAGCCGGACGCTCTTCCAGCCCGGCGGGAGCGCCCGGGGATCATCCTGAGGGCTCTGCTGTTCCCAGCCGGGCTGTGGTGAGGCCACCTCGGCTGTGGGGTCTTCCCCCAGCGGCATTCCCTGGGCAAGGGCAAAGGGCTGCTCTGTGCCCCCGCCCAGCGCGTGCTCCGTGGGGAAAGGCAGGCCCGGGGGAGGGTGAGCCTCCACTGGCACCACYACCGGCTTGAATTCCCCCAGGCAGAATTCCCCCAAGCCTGCTCCAGCCACCTTTGGCCCAGCCATGCCGTGGCTCTCCCAGGAAACTGGCTGCTCCTGGCTGAGGGGAGCCTCCTCATCCAGCCTCACCGCAGACACCATCGGCAGTGCCAGGAGCTCAGTTCCTTCCTCCTGTGGCTGCTGCTCTTCCGTCTTGATCACGATCATCTCACCTGTGGAGAGACAATAGTTCATTCCCAGGAAGGGGAGTTCTCCCATGCCTGCAGCTCCAGAGTGGGAGCAGGAGCAGGAACTTCCCCACCACACGCTGGTGACAGGAACTGGCAAAGAATGAATGGGAGCAGGAAGGACTTCCCAAGGGGAGATGAGGTGAAGGAGGATTGTCTGGGCAGCTGGTTGAACTTCAGGGACATCATGGTACTATGGAATTATTGAGGTAGGAGCAACCCTCTCCAGTGAAGTCCAATCATCAACCAAGCGCTGTCAAGGCCACCACTAACCCTTGTCCTCAAGTGCCCATCCACAGGGTTTTTAAATCCCTCCAGGAAYAGGGCCTCCACCACTGCTCTGGGCATGCTGGACTCAATGGACACTATGGACTGACACTAAAATTCTCATAAAGAAACCAAACCAGAGGGAATATGAAGGCAAAGCTGAGCTGCAGAGTTCTCCATTGTGGAAAGAACCCCATCAGCAATGGCAGAGCTTAAGTGGGTGAATCAAGGATCGAGGCAAAACCTCCCCAGATCAGGAGAGAGAATCCACCCACCCGCAGGCACCCAGCCCCAGAGCCACCCTCACTGAGCCTTCCCCCAGGTTTTCCCATTTTCCATCCTTATGAGCCCTGCCCAGTCCAGGCAGGTTGCCAGTGCCCATCCTCAGCCCCGTCGCTGTCACTCACTGTCACCAAGCTGTCCCAGCACCGCTCCCTTCTCTGGCAGCCCAGGGGTCCCCGGATCCTCCCTGTCCTCAGCTGGTGGCAGTGGTGCAGGTTTGGAACCAGCATCCTCAGAGCCTGGGAAGGAGGGAGCAATGGGATGAGCTGCTGACAGTGGAGACCGACAAATGGGTCCTGGAATTCCAGGATATCCAATCACACAAGCCACTGGCAGCCAAAGCAGGCACGTGATTTTGATTCCTATCCCAGGAAGTGCCTGTTGGACACTCAGCCTTAAAAATTTCAGCACAAATTAATGAGTGCTAAAATTTAGGACTCTTTGCTGCAAAACCCTGCAGGGTGGTCCATATACACCCCATATCCCAGGAAAAAATGGTGCAGGAATACCGGCTGCAGGACAGGTCACCTGGAATCCCTCCACACTCCATGTGGGGAGGGCTTGGAAGCTGGATCAGCCCAGGGATGATGCCTCTGCCATGATCTGAGTGATCCTCACCAAGAGGGACCATGGCCTCGTAATTCCCCTTCCCGGCGATCCCACGGAGCTCCCGGCTGTCCACACTCTCCAGCTCCTGCCCTGGCAGAGCAGCYGCCTCACCCTCACCTGCCGCTGGCACCTGGGTGGAAGGACAGGAGGCTCCGCCTGGGGGTCCCCACTGAGCCCCTCCCCGAGTCCCAGGAGATCCCCACGGGGTCTGGAGCTCCTACGGACAGAGCCATGTCWCGGGGGACATTCCCAGACATCCCAGTGAGGCTCAGCTGTTCCTCCCCAGACCAGGGGCAGATTCCCGGGATCCATTCCAGCAGTCAGGTGAGCAGTGACCTCTCWGGTGGGAGCAGGACATGTGGCACCATCCCACATCACCCCAGTAGGACCCAACACGGCTGAAACACTTGGCGGGGATGTTGTGCTCCCCCTCTGCTCTGGAGACAGGGACAAGCACCAGAGTAGCCGTGTCCATYCAGCTCCACACAGCTCCTGAGAGCCTATGCCACATCCTACCAGCTGCACAGTCACCGGGGGCACCTTCCCATTGCTTTGGGCACATCTCTGTCACCTGTGGCTTGTCCCCATCACCCTGGGCACATCCCTGTGAGCACCCTGGGCACATCCCAGTTCATCTTTGGCACATTCCCATTAGCTGGGGCCTGTCACCGCTGGCATGTCCCTGTTATCTGGGGCTTGTCCCCATTACCGGCACCCCATCCCTGTCACTGTGGGCTCATCCTCATCCCYGTAAGCCAGAGCTTGTCCCTGTCACCGCTGGCATGTTCCCCTCCCCATTCCTCAGCTTGTCCCTGTCACCGTGGGCTCAGCCCCATCCCCATTCCCGGGGGCCCGTCCCTTTCCCCATTCCCTGGGGCTGGTTCCCGTTTCCCAGATTGCATCGCCGTTCCCGGGGCTCATCCCTGCGGGCCCAACCCTGTTCCCTGGGCCCCAACCCCGTCGCGGTTACCTGTGTCCGCTCCCGCCCGCTGCCCGTGCCGGTGTCGGTGTCGGTGCGGTTCCCCCCGCAGCGGCAGCGGCGGAGCTGGCGCTGGATGCGGCGGAGGCGGCGGGAGTTGTCCCGCAGGAGCGCGGCCAGCCGGGCCCCGCCGACCCGCACCGAGCGCTCCAGCCCCGCCACGCGCCGCTCCAGCCGCTCCAGCCGCCGCTCCGCCGCCTCCACGCTCCGCTCCAGCCGCCGCTCCGCCGCCGCCACCGCCCGCAGCGACAACCCCGCCGGGTCCGCACCGCCGGGGCCCGCGCCGGGATCGGGGCCCGCGTCCTGCCAGGCCTCGGGCGCCCACTCGGGGTCCTGCTGCGGGGGGAAGAGGGCGGTGAGGGGCGGCCAGGCCCG